AGCTACTTACTTGTCAATACATATCTTTTCTACTTGTGGCACTAACACTTGAAGAAGTCTCATGATGGTCTGCAATGGAAGCTTTTGCTTCCATGTGTGCACCTGAAAGTATAAATGGAATAACAGAACTATGAAAAGACTAGAAAAAGACATGCAAATAATCCCATGTGGTCCACCTATTAAATTATGCATTCAAGTGAGTTGGCATGTCAAATTTTTGCACAATACCTGACCAAATGCCACTGTATAGTTTTGAATAGCATAACTTAAAGAAATACTAATGTTTTGTTTCACATTTCATGTGATAATACATTTGAACTGACATTTTCTGCTTTCTTTCTGTGCCACCAGAAATTTAAAAAGGTCCTTTTTTATTTTGGATATTTTTGGCTCTGGTGTATTTAATCAACATTTAAAGACACCATTTTACCCAAATGTTCAATTTTTCTCAAAATTACATAAGAGCCACGTTGATTTAGCTCTGTCTGTCTATCAAATAGGTGACATACTGTTATTTCAGTAATCCCAGAAAATTTCGCACAATAATACTAAACTGAAAGCTCAGCTGGAAATAAAATAATGAACAAGTGTTACACTGATAGTAAAAACCCACAACGCATAAACATCCTCACATCTTAACATTTCTTCATATTTCACTTCTGCAGCAGATATATATATATATGATATACCACGGTTGTTAAATCTACATTATCCACCTACCCATTCTGGAGAAGGCACCCAGGACCCGCCAGAGCTACCAACAGAGCTGGACCTCTGCATCCTGGCTACTGCCTTGTCAGAGGCCCCAGAGGCAATAGAAGAGGTAGGGCTGCCAGGAGGTGAATGCTGAGAAATACAATTCTAATTCAATTATGGAAAAAAAAAACAAAAAGCATTGAAGATTATCGATATCTTCCTCATATTTAATTAAAATATAAATCTAAATATATTTAAATATAAATCTAATGTAAATTTAACTCTAAATATAAAATTACAAAAAGAAAAATAAACACCCTTATCTTATCAACCCAAACCCAACCTACCAAATTTTTCACCTTCTCAGACTTCCCTTTCTGCTCTTCATGAACTTCTGCCACAGAATCAGCCTTAGGCTTGTCGTTGTTTACATCTCCACTTCCTGAATCGCATGCAAAAATTGAACAAGTAAATAAATAAAATAAAATAAAATACTAACAGTAACATATTTTCATCAGATATGTATATTATGATAAAAAAATTCAGAGAGGTTTTGATGAAGAGCAATAAGTTTTTGACTGAGAGAAAACTTGTAAGGGGAAATGTGCATCAAATCTTTAATCTTTTTTTTTTAAATCAAACTAACCATATCAATTTGACGTAGTTCTCATTTACATTCTCATTTGATTCTCAAAGTAATTTTACTTTCATACAAAATATGACAGACTCCAGCAGTGCCAAAAGAAATTAAAAGAACATACATAACACCACTTAAACACACTTATTACCTGCCAGTTCCTTGAGTGTTGGCTTTTCCGCAGCAGCTTCATGAGTGGGTGATGAACCTGGCGTCTGTGGAGGCCTTCTCTCAGTCATATTATCTACCCCTGTGGACACAAAAGTCTGTTATTTCATGGGCTGCAACATGTTCATTTTGCTTTGTTTGTTTTTGCTTTTTAATGTGCATTGAGCAGGGCTTTTTTAAAAATGGTTTTGACTTCTTAAATGTCTGCCTTTATTACAAAAGTGTAAAACTTCATGTTCATAGTTTGTCACTTACTGGCAAAATAACATTTTAAGGAGGGGGGGGGGGGACCTATCTTCGAATTAGATTGTAAAACACCATTTTGATTAAACAGTATATCTGGTTTGAAATTTTACAAAATTCAAAAGAATACCTGGATATGCTGCTAAGGTAGCCTTCAGGGTTCCAGGCTCGGCTTCTGTTGCTGGTAAAGCACCTTCCATTGTCTGAGGCTCGGGTGGAGTGTCTGGGGTAGATTGCGGGGAGAACTTCTTGCCCCGTTTGCTAAGAGCTTTAGCAATGGCAGAGTGATCTGTGGGGAGGTTTGCCAGTTGGTGGAATACATTCCTCTTTCTTATTATAGTGTAAACTAGGCTGGAATTTCCTGGAAAGACATCATGCTTATCATCCTCCAGAGCTTTGAAAAAATGAAAAACAGTAAATCTTCTCAAACTAATCACTCTAAAGCATTGAGAATGGAACCTGACACTTTCAACTTCACCCCTACTTATTTCAGTATAAAATTCAGTTGTTATCAATCTTCAAAGACTAGGAACATATAATCCTAAATAGCATTCAATATGAAATGATCATGATACCAAATCATTATTTTACACTTAATCATGACTCACCATCGAACTGATACTGAATTATATTATTGAAAACTTCCAACAAAAAGAACACCAAGTGGTGATTGGTGGGGCTAGCATATAAGAACCATGGAGTGCTGAATGCCTGAAAATTTGACAAACAAATGAGTGGAACTAATGGCAGACTAAAACATCCAAACAACTAGTTTTAACATTCAAACTCACGATGCCGCTAATCTATTTATTAATCCATGAAAGTTATAGAAATAAATGGTTTAGATGAATGCGTATACCATTAGACAGGTAAATATTAAACAGGAAATGCAATTTTTTAACAGACCATACCTCAAGTAAATGCAAAAGTTTTGTGCTAGCCACCATTGATAAGGTCTTCAAGTATGGTGACACTAAAAACAGAGTAAAATTAAACATATATAAAACAGACATTTTTAAAACATGATCTCTTTGGAAATTGACTTTGTATGGTTGCCATATAACTATAATATTTCAGTAAATTTCTACTATCAAAGCATTGGGAGCTATATTTATATCATTAAATGTTTGCAATTTGCTGAATAAGTAATTAAATTGGAAATGAGTCTGTTTACCATTGACAATAATAGTCATAAGACAGTCAAACAGGGGCTGAAGTCTCTGGTGTCCACTTGTAATGATTTTGTGAAAAACCTGTAATATAATATAATATAATATAATATAATATAATATAATATAATATCATATAATATCATATAATATCATATNGTATATCATTTTCAGTTCCTATCCTGTTTTTTATCATATGCAATTATTCTGTAAATAACTTCTCTTCTGAATAAAGTAAATGTAATAAAATGTTAAGAACACTTTTTTTAAAACTAATTGTATTTTCATAAGTGATAACCACTGTTCACTTGCAATCAATGAGCAGAGTAAGTGATAGTTTTTGAACTTCACCATTACTTCAAATTCACCATTAAAATTATAACCTATCTCATTTTGCCATGGGACATAAGACACTGTTCTTGAATTTTGTTGCTATACTCACAATAATAAGTAAGTCTGCGTGTGCTCCAGTGAACACGGGGATATCCATGGGTACACGCACTGTGTAGGGTTTGTTAAGCCTCACACCAAAGTTTCTCTCCCCACTCAACAGAAGCAGAATGAATACACCAATGTGCATCAACCCAACTCGGGCTGAAATGAGAAGACAATATGGTCAACAGACCATCACATTTCAAACATTAGAAATGTTTACCAATGTCAAAAATTTATTCAACAAAATTCCATACCATAAATTTAACTCATCACTTAACAGTTTACAATGATTATATGACATAGTGTATGCAATCAGATGCAAACAACACATGATCTACTTCTAATTCAATAATTCATAAACAGCAACAGGCAACAGTTTACTCCAAAATGTACTTAAATATTTCACATAAAACATTGAAATATCCATACCATAAAAGAACAAATACAATATTATATTTCAGAAAACAAACTAAGTATAAGCCTTACACTGATCTGCCCTGGCATCATTGAGATAATACAGTATAGGAACCAGGACATCCAGAACATCACTGCTTTTCAGTACGTAAAACATGAATTTCTGAAATATTTTTGGAAAAATATTTAGTGCACTTACATAGTCATATCAGAGACAAAACCACAGAAGTTCAAAGTAAGAAATATCTTACATCTCATGTATATATTATCAGTCTTATCATTATGTAGGTTAAGTAAAAAAAAATCATGAAATGTACCATATAAATATTAGGAATGGTTTATAGTGATGTTGATCATTTACTTTGGAACTTGAGGCTATGCCAGACAGCAACGCTTGCTTTTGTCTCTAGAGCATCGTCAGTCTGAATAGTCACAAATCATTGGGTGTTGGTAGACAGTTATACCTAGGTCATTCTGCCAATTACTTATACCAGAGTGGAAATTGTTCACAGGTCTACCAACACCCATTGACCTGTGAATATACCAAAATTGATAACATATTAATATTGCTGTTTATTATCTTATTTGTCTATGTATACCTTATTAATGTCACACATTTTCCAAAACAGCACCAGCAGTTCTTGATGGAACTGTACCCTTTTACAGGACCCAGGGAGGTAGGTCTGCATTAGGGGATTGTTCAGCAGCCTTGTGATGCCTTTCAGTATGAACAGGAAATCCTACAATAACGGTTATATCAAAGTTAAACTTGTTAGCATAAATAAAATCTTAAAATCAACATACTACTTTACGTATCAACGAAGAATACAAAAAAATATTTACTATTTTTTAGCTGCATTTTTTGGTTGGTTGATTAAATGGCATATGGTTGAAACCAGAAGAGAAAAAATATTTACCTCTTCCCTGTGTACTCTGGACATATAATTGACAAACAGGTTGTCAGAGCCACCAGACTGAATTTAGAAGAAAAAAAAACATGATGACAATACGTCTTGATAACAATAAGAAATACTGTATACCTTTATACATATATTAACACCCTGGCTTAAATTTCTCTCTAACATATCACAACATTTCAAGCATTAGGTTAGAAAATGGACAACTTTCACGTTTTTCCATCACTAATTAGCCAGCAAACTCCCATTATCAAACATGAGGTAGAAGTGTTTTAATATTTTAATAATTCAAACTGATACCAACTTCAGGAATGAAACAGCCATTTTATTTACTTACATCACAGTTAGCATCAGGGTCCATAGGAGTGCCGGCAGTGACTATAGTTCCATCTGCTGGAGCAAGCTCCCTGTTCAATTCATGCTCCAAAGTGACACAGAGCACCTGCAGGGAGACCTCTACCAGGGGTTCTCTGGAGTCTGTGAACATCAAGTGATTGTATGGAACACCATAGCCCACGGGGTCATAGGATGCAGTGATGTTGAGGAGAGATGTAAACAATGGCAGGGCATGTCTGGAAATAATATTTTGTAAGAATATCTTATGATTTCATGATAGGTGAATCAAAACTATCTGATAATCTTTAATATATTTTTGGAACATTTTGCAGTACTGATATTCCACAGGAAAGCAATGTAGTCACCTAAAAGCTTGTGTTGTCATCAAAAAAGACAAAAAATCAATCTCTGATAAATTCAACACAAAAATCCATGTGCAAATCACTTTAAGGTGTTTGAAATATTTTCTTAAATCAACTTTGACTGTATGAGCTCCCTATGTGTAAATATCTAGAGATCAATCAATTCCCTTTATTATGCCCTTTACCAATATTCTGTTTCTCACCTATTTTCTGTAGAAGTGAAATAAGCAATCCACTGGTTGGGCTGAGCATGGGCCTCAGCCACTGGAGGCAAGTACATGCTCTCAGAGAAACATGTCAGCAACAATTTGAGAATCTCTGTCCTGTGGTAGTCATGCTGAGCATTGTGTGCTGGGGAGTGGGCAAATCCTACACCAGCCTCCCAGATATACTCACAGCTGTCTATGGACTGTAGATCTTCAGGGTTATCCTGTCAATAAGATGTAAATTGATGTAGGTCTTCTGAATTTGGAAATATCATCATTTGTAAAACCACATATCAATGCCGTCAAGATGTTAAAATTTTTAAAACCAACTGAAGTAAGCAGTCTTTTAAGCATTTCAGTGGAAAAAGATGATGACAAATATTCAACTTACAGGTCCAGATTTCTTACTAGAAGTGACTGTGAACTCTGGGCAAAACAGCAGATCCTGAAAGATACAAAGATCATCTTAACACACTCTTTTCACTTCTGATGACAAGACCTGTTTGACCACTGCTATTAAAACAAAACTGCACACCACATTAGTTATGAAGATAAATATACATAGCATTAACTACCACATATAATTACCACAATTTATATAATGTTCATATCATAATATGCTATCAGTAAAAGTTACTTTGCACTGAGTCTCACTGGAAAGTATACTTACACACAAAGCACTGATAAGTGACTGTGCTAATGGCAGACTGCCTTCTGCCTGTAAAATTGACAAATTATAAGATTAACATCTTGCTGCAGATAGAAATGCAATATCTATAATTATGACACATAACTTTTAAGCTATTTCAAATTGAAAGTCTCACTAAATTACTGTCAGCTTAGCCGGCTTAGGGACCGTTCACATGCAAATTCTATTTTCTAAAAATCTATTTTCTATTCGCGGTATCTTGTGATCACGGTCTGTGCCCTGAATACCCCGCGGCGTAATTACTGGTAGCGCGAGCCAGTTACTTCCAAAGCTGTAATTAGTTCTCTGCTGCGCTCGGAGTGATCACAAGATACCGCGAATAGAAAACAGATTTTTAGAAAATAGATTTTGCATGTGAACAGAGTCTTAAATGTCTGTTCTGCCTACTAAAAGCTGTAAGGGGGTAATTAACTTCCATGCGCGCTCGGTTGACAGCAATTTAGCATGAACCCCCAGGGATCTAAATCTGTGTGAATGCAGTCTTATATAATCATGTGAAGACTACTGGCCCCACTAATGATGCATCACAGCCAAGAGAAACGGTTGAAATGTTTCTGCAATATTAGTTTATGGCACAGACTGCTACAGGCTAGATTTTTTATCACCAACCCCCCTCCCCCCAAAAAACTTATTCTTTGAATTAATTGATAAATGGGACTATGATTAAAATTATTTCACCAATTCATTTCCCTTTAAATACATTACTGAAGTATTTGATAATATATTTTAGAAAAATAGCTGGGGTAGCACTAACACTCACCAATTTAGCCAAATGCTAAAACTGATTTAAATTGGCTTAACAAAATTGGGTTGACTTGATTTGTTTTAGTCAAATTTTTAGCATATGCAGGAAAAAGTAATGAAAAAATTGTGATTTGGCTGAGCAAAAAAAATTGCTGCACAGACACTTAACCAAGGCCTCACCTCTGCTGCATCTTCTGTCTGACCTGGCAGTGTAGACCAGAAGAACCCTCGCCAGTCTGGATCCTCAAATATGTACGGCAGTATTCGGGAGAGCAGACGTACACAATTCAGGACTTAAATTATATGAAACAAGAACAAGAGTAAGATACTGAGAAGCCGACAACAGAATGTTCTGAGCAGTATCTGCATTGCAAATTATTTCAAGTTTCTAACAGAAAATTCAATTACATTTGGCAACAGAACTGTCCATAAAATGCGATATGCATAGACTGCAGTCCCCACCAAACACCTCTTCTGGTGTAAATTATTCAGCATAAAGTAATTAATGGTACAAGTATACCTGAATTTCTCTGAACGAAAGCACAGACTCATACACAATGATTTAAGAAAAATTTCCTTTTATAACTTCATAATCATGTCATTATCACACTGGCTTATCATGACCAGTTTCGAACTTCTAATTTAATATGGAACATGTAATTCTCTATTCCCATAGATTTTAGATCGATCTATCCCCGCGGGGAGTCTCACTAGATTACTTTCAGATAATCTGACTTAAATGTCCGACCCGCCTACTACAAGCTGTAAGGGGGTAATTAACTTTCGTGTCCGCCCGGCTGACAGCTATTTAGCGTGAACCCCCAGGGAGTTAGGTCGATCTAAAGTAGGTCGATCTAATCTATGGAAATGGGGTGTAAAACACAGCCAGGGTAAAAACAAGATAATTGCATATCAAAGCAACATTTGTTATTGAAATAAGCTAGCTAAGCCAAAACTCATCACATAGGAGACCCCTGGATTTTCCTTAAAACAGGGTTAATATGTTGGCTCCAACTTCACTTACATAAAAGAAGTGATAATTGAGATTGCATGATTAACTGACGTCATGTTCAAATAAGTAAACTAATTCTTCCTTAAATGAGGTGTTGAAGCTAATGTATTGATCTCCTTCTTATCACTTTGCGTAAATATCCAAGAATTAATTCAGAAACGGGTAAACAATATTAATTTATATCCACACCGTTTCGAGGACATCTTTCTGAGAATAAATCTCAATATGTCATTTTCAGAAACATTTCTTACAGAGGAACTCAGCAGAGAAAACGTAAACAGCACAATGTGATAACAACCATGTTCAAATGCCTATGACATATTTATAGGAAAATATGAGAAAATATGTGAAAAACTTATGTTTCTGTCAGTCACAGTCCACACTGTTATAATAGTAATGTTTGTATTTTCTTCTTTGGCTGTTTACTAGTCTCCCAAAAATATCCTCTCTGACCACAGGGTGCACTAGTAGTCTGTTACAAAAAAAATTGCATTGCACCCTGTGCTATTCCAGGTAATCAACAGGAACACTGTACTATGTAATTGTCAGTAGGGGTGATTTCACACTAGGTGCTGAGTAATGCACATCCTGCCTGTATTACATAATATGTCAAGCATGCCCACTGTCTAGATGCCCACCTGAATAATAACATTCCACCCTGCAGTTAGGTATTCTTTTCTGCTGCTGAGCCACCATTTAAGGGGCGGGTAGGGGTGGGTAGTTTTATTATACCAGATTGAATTTTTTCCCACAGGGGCTCATACCTACTATTTAAGAAGCCCTTGATATTAGAGGGTACGCACTAGGTCAATGTCTGGATCAAGGTTGGAAAATATGGTAAAGAAAAGACAAAAATTAAATAAAATGGTTTTCATGAATTGATTTATCATAAAACTGAATGAACCTCTTTTTAGTAAGAGCAGATAGGAAGTCATATAACAATTTCATTTTGCTCACTTCTGTCCTTCTTTACCTGTCGTCAAATTTAAAAAAAATGCTCCACCCCCCCCCAACCCCCCCTCCCCCCCAAAAAAGGAGGCATTTATGCACCTAGTTAGTAAAAGTAAAAACAACAAATAAGAAACTATATGTGGATTTTAATTTGGTGGCCATAACTCAAGGTAACTGCAATTAAAAGAAAAGAATACAATACTTTACTTATCTTACCACAAAAATATGCAAATATGCCCTGCAGTAAAAAAAATAATAATTTGTAGAATTCTGAAGAGCATGCCTACTGATCACTGATGGCAGTGACCTTTGACAACAAAGGCAGCAAAGTGATATTAGGTCAAATCACTGGCATTAAGAGAAGAACAAGAAATAGTGCACAATTGCAAAACATCTATACAAGTACTCAAAGCATACCTATCTGTTGATCTTTATAAGAGCGGCATGAGGTTTCCGTAGCTTGTACTATCTTCTCTACAGCCTTGTAACACAATGTGGCTAAATTTGATGGATTTTCTTCCCTTAAAGCTCTTATTTCTAATGCTGGTATCAGAGTGAAGACATCTTGGATACAAGTTACACTATCAGACCAGAACTGGCTCCAAAAGGCTTCATCATTGGCCTCTACTGGCTACAATATAAATGTCAAAATAATATTAACATTTTATGGCATACACTTGAAAATAACAACTGTTCATTTTGGCAAAAA